ACTATACACATGAAGAAAGAGAGGTGACAAAAGGCATGGCAACTCAAAATATGTCAGTAAATTTGGTCATTTTGGTAAAACAATCAGCTGTTTCAGTTGCATATAAAAAAGTGTCTCATTGCCAAGATGTAACAAAAGAAACTTATCAAGATTGCAAAGCTTTTTGTTGCAAAATATTTTGGCTCTGGTTACAGAAAACTGTCCAAACTACCACATAGTTCTGTTAGGTATACAATTTCAAAGTAAGAACATAACTACAAAAAAAATAAATTAAAAAAGGTGCTAAGAAGATGATGTCCGCCCTGCAAAAGGAGAGGGAATAATTATCAGAAATGTCTGAGGGCCAATGAGTATTTGTGGAGAGCCTGAGAAAGGTAACCACAAGGATTCCACTGTGGAAGAAAATGCATATATTTATAAAAGCCAGTGGAATACTGGGAAAATACAATCTGGCCTGATGAGACCAAATAAAACTCTTTAGCTGCAGTAATACACAATGGATTTGGAAGTCAAAAAACAACAGATATATCAACCCAAAACCTGCATACCAACAGTAATGGTTAAAGGTGGGAACATCATGGTGTGGGGCTGTCTTTCAGCAGGTTTCATGTAATTGAAGAAAGACAAAGGAGAGAATGGAGATAGATGTTCTAGACATAAACCTGCTGCAGATGGTGATGATGTTTAAACATGAGTGGATGATTCAGTAGGTTAATGATCCCAAAACACGCATCTAAGGAAACCTATAAGTCCTTTCAGAGAGATTCTAAAACTAGATTGGTTCAACCAAATAAAAACCTCTGGAAAGAACGTAAGCTCAGAGTTCATCCACAAGACTATTGGTTAGAGTGTATAGTATTTTTTTTCCCTTCATGGTTCATTTTTATTAATCAAATCATTATTTCTGTGCATATATGAGGACTTGGCGGATGGTCAATTGTACACACACATTCACTCTTAAATATGTGGCCTTTGAAAGTCAACTGAAACCTTGATTCCAGTACCTGAAAAGCTAATATGTTGGTTGATGTTTTTATCAGCTTGTGAGCTCACAGGACCTGCTTTTTGCATGCAGGTCATCAAGCTCTTACCATGTCCCTGGTGCTGTTGGGTAAATTTGGTGTTCTGGCTGCTACTGGGATGATGTACACCTACACAGGAGAGCTGTCTCCCACAGTGATCAGGAATACAGCAATGTCCTCGTGTGCCATGTTTTCACGAGTGGGATCCTCTTTATCGCCATATCTGCTGGAAATAGGTGAGACCTTTAAATCTAGTTGCCTGTGATTGACAGCAATGCTATTTAACCTACCGTAATAAGATTTCTCTACATTTATAAATAATTAGAACTGGAGATCCATTTGTTTTAAAATTCCAGTGCTTTTTTTTTCTCCTTTTAATACTCCCTAAAAAATTTGATTGGACTAAACTTGGAAACATTTAATCCATCGATCTGAAAAGATTTGGTCTGATTTTTGTCCCCAGCTAAGTTCAATGAGCTCCTGCCATGGATCATCATAGGTGTCCTGTCACTTCTCAGCGTTCTTCTCTGCATCTTCCTGCCAGAAACTTTCAGAAAGCCACTGCCTGATACCATAGAGCAGATGCCAGCCTCACAGTGGTGAATGTGCACAGTGCCTTAACATGTTCATTATGGAGATACAGACTAACACAAACAAATGCATAAAAAACATTTCAAAGATATGGTGCAAAAACATAAATTAAGTTTTGTGTACATGTGGGTTCCACTACTATCTTTAATTACCTTTAATAAATCCAGTGTGACTATTTTGCTTTAGAAGTTATTTTCCATCCATATGGTAGATAGCACAGTTGATAACCAAATAAGAGTTGGTCGTCTTTCATAAATGAAAAGATTGACAGAAACAGCATTATAATTATCTGAACATAGAATCTGAATCTAGATTCACAGCTCAGGTGAGAGAATCTGGATACAGGATAACTATAAAATATTCTCCATAGATCTAGCTTATATAAAAAAAAAAGTAGCGAGAGGAAAGCTGTTGTAAGAAAATTACAACTACAATATCTTGTAGTTTTCCACTACACAAGTGAAAGAGACAGATATCATGCAGAAAGAGCTAATCTGGTCCAATTAAACAAGAATTCCTCTCATGGCCTGAATAAAAGCACTAGTGTGTGGTGAAAAACCACCACTGCTTTGCAAGACAGTTTTCATCTTTATCCTCAAGAGTCAAGTAAGAAAGGACTGAGTTAAATCCAAGTCTTAAACTTTAAATTTCAGGTATTTTCTTCATTTATTTGTTTTAAGAAAGTTGAATATGTTAAATGTAAATGATTCAGCATGCGTGCATTTTTTTTCAATCTGTATTTATTTCTGCTCCTGGTGACAGCAGGGCTCTGAGTGGAAAGACAGAGAAACGTCTGAGAAATAAACTTTTATTCGTAAATGAAAAAATTAAAAACAAAAGCAAAAATAAGTTTATTATAAAAGAAAGAAAACAGATGTTTGTGTTTTGTTACAAAATGAAAAAAGTGTAAAAATCCTTTGTAAAGAAAATAGGTATAAGAAATATAAAATAAAATTAGAGGCAAGTGAAAACTAAAAAACTGATGCAGTTCTCCTTTTCCGATTTACAGGTTTGCATGGCCCTGGACCTCCAAAGCTGGCCTGAATGATGAAGGAAAATGCTCTAAAGAGCTAGAGTGTACATCACTAGAGATTATCTGTACAACTCGCTTATGAGGCACCCGATTTAAAAATAAGATGTTCTACAGAAAATCAAGCAAACAAACAAAAAAAATCCTGTCAGATTATGGTGCATGAAAAATCTATGGTCTGAATATTTCTAATAACATTTGTCATCTTATGAAAACAACTGTTTTCTAGGAAGGTTTTCAGATGTTACTACTAAGGAAAAAATGTAAATGGGGGGTGTCCAAACTTTTTGCAAAGAGGGCCAGATTTGGTCAGATGAAAATGCATGGGGGCCAGTCATTTGGCCTGACAGTCCTCGAACCATTATCATCGTAAATTAACATGTAAATATGTATCTATATCACTTTGCTGTCTGCAGATAGGACAATATTGCAAATCAGATTCTGCTGTCAATTGCATTACCATTATTATAAATACAAATAATTATAAATACAAATAAACAATTTTCTGAAAGTTGCCTTAATTTTGTATCACACATATTGTTTTGTTTTTTTCGACAAATCACATCCTAGCGCATTTTGAAAAACATTACAGTCAAATCAGATAGAAGATATATGACAAAACTGTGATCTGATTGTCACAAAAAAGAAATTCTCAGAGACTTTGGAATTTATTCTCCCCAGAATAGAACAAAATACCAGTGGTGTCAAGTACACACATTTGTTACTTAAGTAGAAGTATAGAAGTATCAACTTGACCTTTTTACTCAAGTAAAAGTGAAAAGGTATTTCCTCCAAAAACTACTTCAAGTATAAAAGTATAAAGTAACCTTAAAAATAAAAACAGCCACATGCCACTATATGAACTGAAAGCTACATTTTTCGACTATTTCAGAAAAATTATTTGAGATAGGGCCAAGGATGAGGGAGGTCTTGTTGGTCTCTGTCTCCATCTCACGATACACTCTCGCCTGTGTCTGACCTTTCAGACATTTCAACATCTTTATCTGAATCCAACATTGTAGCATTGAATAGACAATTCACGCTTGCAGTTTGAAAAACACCTGCTTGCTTCTGATGATTTCCTTTGGGGTCAGCACAAATTAGACGAATAGCTAACCAATGAGTGTTTGCGCTACATGACTCACCCAATGACACTAGTTTTCACTAGATGTGGATGGCGCCAATGATCTGCATTGGCACACATGACGTGAAATAAATATTTATAAACATTAAACCGAAGCCAAGAGTAACGAGTAACGTTTGTTTTAAAAATGTAAGGAATAGAAAGTACAGATACTTGTGTGAAAATGTAATGAGTAGAGGTCAGAAGTAGGAAGAAAAATAAGTAATGGAGTAAAATAGATAGTTAAAAAGTTTACTTAAGTACAGTAACAAAGTATTTGTAGTTTGTTACTTGACACCTCTGTTCTGGGGTTATATGGAAAAAGCAAGTGGTGCACTTTATTCCATAATATTTCACAGTGGACACATGCATAAAAAATATGGTTAGTTGATTTGATATTGGCTGCTCATTGGTGCAGTGGCTACCCATCCCTTGCAGCAAGAAGGTTCTGGGTTCGATTCCTTGCCCAGGGTCTTTCTGCAAGGAGTTTGCATGTTCTCCCAGAGCATGCATGGGTTCTCTCCGGCTTTCTCCCACAGTCCAAAAAACATGACTGTTAGGATAATTGGCTTCTCTAAATTCTCCTTAGGTTTGAGTGTGTTTGTGAATGGTTGTTTGGCCTGTTTGTCACTGTGTTGCCCTGTGATGGACTGGTGACCTGTCCAGGGTGAACCCCGCCTCTCACCCCTAGACAGCTGGAGATAGGCACCAGCACCCCTCACGACCCCACTTGGGATTCAGCGTCTTAGTAAGTCGATGGATGAATGATGATTTGATATCTGCTTCATAAAATGCAAATGCATTATCATTCAAAAGACATCCAAGAAATTATTTCGAAAGCTTAACTTTTGAGAGAGTTTTGAAGTGGACTTCCGTAGATTTTGGGGAAAGAGCATTTTTATCTCTTTTTTTTCTCTTTTATTTCATTTTATTTTATCCGTTTATTTTTTTGATCAATTGAGATTATTTGAGATACATTCTGGATAAGCCAGGAAACTAAGCGAAATGAAATCTAGGAAGCAACAGCGCCCCCCTGAGTCAGATTATTGAAAATACAACTGTAATCAAACACCGGAAGTTACTGTATTTTATTTGACTTTACTGCGCATGCGCAGTGCAACCAGCTCCACCGCCTGGCTCGTGTGAGCTTCTGGTGTTAGAAGGGGAGAAGTGAGCAAACTGAGGATTTCAGTACATTATTCCATAAAACGCGTCTAGTTTCTGGTTTTTCACAGAGTCTGGAAACAAAAGAAAAGGGAGAACGAAATCGAGGGCATAAAGAGGAAAGAGAAAAGGAGGAAGACGGGGAGGATATTTTTTTTACACAGTGGAAAATGCTGCGGATTTGACTAAAAGGTAAGGATAGCCAGCGGATCAATACTCATTGTTGGTTGAGCTCAAAGTTGTCGGTTGTGGGCGGAAGGAAGACGTGGTGATGGAGGTTTACAGCCGCAGCCTCCGCAGTCTGCGGCTGCTGAATGTAGGTCATTGTGTCGCTGGGTCGGACTTGAACGATCGGAGCCGAGACCAGCTGGGCCGAACCGAGCCGTGCTGCAGGGGGGCTGCAGGAAGGTGATGCCCTGCAGCAGGATAGACCTCTGGGCTCTTGTTTACAAATCAGCAATCGTCCTGACAGGCTAAAAAATGTTGAAATAAAATGCATGAGACCACACATGTGTTATATTGATTTTAAAATTCAAACAGTTAAATAAACTGCTTTGTAAAGAGATGGATGAAAATAGCCTTGAAATGAAACATGCATGCTTTTAGATAATACAGTTATCTAAAAAAAGAGGAAAAATGATACTTCTGCTATGTATGAATTTGGGTCTGTAAGATCACAAGAGGCACACGAACCATGGTGATCAGCTGGTATTATTTCACATTTTCTATTAACAGTTTGATCACAAACATGCAAATTGAAATAAAAAAAACTGCAAAGAAAGAAAGAAAATTAAAATGTGCAAATAAAAAAACTACAGAGAAAAAAAGGCAGAAAATAAAAAACTGCAGAGAAAAAAAGAACACAAAAAAAACAGCATAGAAAAAAGAACATAAAATATGTGCAAATGAAAAAACTGCTGAGAAAAAATGAACATAAAAAAAACGTGCAAATAGAGAAAAAAAGGACTTAAAAAAAAAAAAAAAAAAAACTGCAGAGAAAGAGAGAAAAATTCCAGGTAATATCAACAGATGCATTGGTTTTCCCCCTAGAGTTTTTATCTATATTAGATATGATATAAAGTAGCTAAAGTGGTGGAGAAACGGGCTATGGTAGCTTTTAAAACGATAATTAGCCACATTCAAAGGGAGTTAGTAGAATGAAATTGAATAGAATAGAAAATCCCTTTATTGTCACGTTATATTAGTGTTATAAGTAGTAAGAGTTCTTCCTGCAACTGTAGGGTTGCTCTTTTGAACCCCGAATTAAATCCAAAATACTGAACTTTTAAAAACTAAACAGGTAAATTTGGATTATAGCTTTTTGTATCCTAAAGTCTAATCATTGTCTGCACTACTATCACTATTAATACCCTTCACAAACCTTATAAACATTTTCTGCCACTAAAAATATTTATTACAGCAGTAAAACAGCTACTTAATAAGTTGAGCTATTAGCTATATTTTTCAACAGATATGCTGATCAGAGTGAAACAGCTGTAGTTGGAAAGCAGCAACACCATCATACTAGCAGATGGTTGCACCCGTTTTTAAATTCCACTGAATGGCCTTTCTATTCTAGTTTATTGCTGCTATAATCTTTTTATCATTAAAGATGGTTTTATCTTTTTTGCAAGAAAGGAAAATTATATTAGCCCTCCATTAGGTGTACCCCTAGCTGTGGCTAGGCAGTTAAAGTGGGGCTGCAGCAAACCATTATTTAGCAAATCGATTAATATGTTGATTATTTTTAATAATCGGATAGTAAAAGGTTCCTTAAAGAATATTTTTTGCGAAATTAAACCAGGTGAAACTAAAACACTTTCCACTTGAGGAACTCTAGATAGAGCAGATTGACAGACAAAAAAAAGCTTTTTTTTTTATCTTAAATGCAAAATGTGCACATATGTTTTTTGCAATTTTGGTATAATTGCTGCTCAAGGTGGGTCACTCTGTCAGCTATAGGCATATTTTAGTCTCTACACTCCTGTTTAACGATTAACCGCTTACTAATTTACTCGATGATTATTTCAATAATCGATTAATCACAATTAATCTGATGAATTGTTTCAGCCCTAGTTTAAAAACCTTAAACCCTAAGAATGTCTCAGTTGTAGGAGGAATACGTTTGTTTAAGAAAATTTTATTTTAAGCTATGATTGAATTTAAACATTTTGAGCCAATGGTTCATATGTTTGAAGATAAAACCACAAGCTTAATTTTAAATAGATTTTTAAAAATTATTGTTATCTCTGAACACTTTGCTAACATTTGGTATTTGATTTTTCACTATTAGTGCTGCCAGGCCCCAAACTTCCAAAAGGAGCACCTTCATAGAGTATGATGTGGATGCTCTCTTCATCCTCTGCCTTTTACAGTTTCAATTTGTATCTCTGTTTCTGTCTCCTATAACCCCAGTCGACCTCTGCAGATGACACTGAGTCTGGTTCTGTTGGAGGTTTCTTCCTGTTAAAAGGGAGTTTTTCCTCTCCACTGTCGCTGCAAGCATGCTTAGTGTGAGGGATTGCCTTCGAGTCAATGAGTCGATGCAATCAGCTGATTTTCCTTAGATAGAAAACTTTGAATCAATTTAACTGTATGATCTGGTGAACTGTAAAGTGCCTTCAGATGACATGTGTTATGAATCGGTGCTATATAAATAAACTGAATTCAATTGAATGGCTAATAGAAGACATAACTGACTGATGAGAAGTGCTGGGTGAGCAGTTAAGCATCAAAGATGTTTCATCCAGAAACAAAAACCTGCTGATTTACTAGCTGACTGCTGAGTGCGACCTGAAAATAAAACAACAACAAAAAAAACCCTGATCAAACAAGCAGTAAATCATGGGCCGAGCTGGAGCCAGCGTCTGAATCTGCTGGGAGGAATGCCAGCTGGGAGAAAATCTGTTAGGGAAAAATAACAGTCCTGTCCCTGTCTTATTTGTACAGCATGTCAGCCGGAGCGCTAATGTTTATCTTTTTAAACTCTCACATTTCACACTTTTTTGAATATTCTAACAGTTTTGTTTTGCTTAAAAAAATCAGTTTGGCTCCTTGCTGCTGAAGCTCCCTGAAGGAAGGTGACACGATTTCGTCGAAACATCTGTAAAACCCGACGGCTAACTATTCTTTTGTATGTTTCCAGCTCTTTTGTTTGCAGGTGGTTTTAGGTGGTGTTTCTGCAAACGCACTCATCCCCTTCCTTCCTCATTGTGTTTATCTTTTAAGGCCTTATCCAGTCACATTACACTCAGTACTCTTTTAAACATTAGAGAGCCGACGTCCCCAGCTTAACAGTCTGTTAATATACTGCATGCACTGTGGTTACATTTTTATTGTTGTCTTTCAGTTCTTTTGGGATTAAGAGTTAAAAGTTTATTTTAGCATTTAGTGTACCTTGTTGTGTTCACAACTTGTTCAGTGACTAAACAAATTAATCATTAAGCAAATGATTTCGTTTTTGCTGATTGGCGACGGAAGATTCTAAGTTGTAGGTGGAAAGTAAACCGGATAAAAAAAGGCCTGATTTTATTTTAAGAGTCACAGATTTAGCTTTTTTAAGACTTTATTTTAATACAGTAAAGATCAAAACATGCTGCTGGTCTCTAGAAAGATGTAGTAAATGTAGAATTAGCAGCATATGAGCCCAACCAAATACTTTTGAAGGAATACTAATAATTTCTTTCTGTTTTCTATTAAGGTCCATACCGTATATTTGAATTTAAATCTTTGATGGATCATAGATGAATGAATGAATGGGTTACATGGAGAAATTTTGTACTTTTACACCAATGAAGCAAGAAAACTGAAGTATTTCTTTACTGTTTTTTAGCTGGCTGTTACTTCAGGCACTGGAATATTTGATCTTTTCTATAATGTTCTCCCTCCCTTTACTCAAAGTGCTACATCAGGCTGTCCAACAACTCCTCTGGACGTCTGTGATTGATGGCAGTAAATTAGAAATCTCAGCTGTAGTAAATCTTACTATAAGGAGGAGTTCACTTTTTCTTCTAAAACCTTTTAAGCTTCTTAAGGTGGTATTGTATGTGTATGACGTGCTCTCCTAGTAAAAGAAAAATCTTTTATTTTGTTGTTGTTAAATATTCTTGCATCTTTTTAGATGTCTGCCGTCACCATGGAAGCAAATTCCATCCTCCCGGTCCTAAAAAAGAAGCTGGCCTTCCTCTCAGGTAATACCCAGTGTCCTCATGCTCCTTTAGTGCTAAATCTTCACCTTCAGTAACTCAATGTTTCTTGGCGTCTGTTAGGAGGCAAGGACCGGCGCAGCGGTCTGATCCTCACCATCCCCCTCAATTCAGATCAGACCAGCATGGAGGAACTCAGTGCCACGCTGGATTACCTACTCAGCATCCCTAGGTAGAGGCATGCTAGCTAAGATAGCCTAGTGTCTGTCTGAACTATCATCAAGTTAAACTCATCTCCCACTTTCAGTGACAAGTGTAAGGCTCGTGGTTTCACTGTGATCGTGGATGGCCGGAGGTCTCAGTGGAACATCGTGAAGACGGTGGTGCTCATGCTGCAGGTAGGAATCGAACCTCCGTCTAGGATTGTGGTGTTTGGTTGTCGGTGTAGGTTTTTAAAGATGCGGCGTGTGGGTGGATGTTTCAGAACGTGATCCCAGCGGAGGTGTCGCTGGTCTGCGTGGTGAAGCCTGACGAATTCTGGGATAAGAAGGTCACACACTTCTGTTTCTGGAAGGAGAAAGACCGCCTGGGCTTTGAGGTGAGTGCCTCACCTGCTGGAGGCAAAAAGGCTTTTACTTGTCCTAAAGCTCGCAGAAATATGAAATATAGCACATTGTATAGGAAGTTTCAGTCAGTTTATTCCTCTCTGTATGTTCAAATCTTTACATGGGGAAACAATATTAAATTAATTAATGTCCAAAAGTGGAATGTACAATATCTGATTATAAAATAAAAATTGTTTTAATCTTTTAATTTGACCATTTATATCTTAGGCATTTTATTATTTCCATCTCAAATTAGAAAAGCAACATAAATATGTTGTCTAGAAGTTAGTGAGGAATCAAAATAAAAAATCAAATCGTATTATAAACATGGATTTATAAATCTGGAGCTGATCTGAGTAACTCCCTTATAATCACATTAAAACTTGATTAACTGAGACCAAATACAGAACAAAAGTTACTGTCAAACTGACTTATTGGTTTTACTTTGTTTTCATCAAGACACCTGAGCTGCTTTGCTCCGATAGCTCAGTGTGAAAAACAGCTGATCTCAGGCTGTTCTCTACATCCAGTCTGTTCATCTGCTTGGTTTTGGTGTGGGTCAAAACTGAAGGTGAACTCAAAGAAAATGTAATTTTTTTGGTTGATAAAAGTTTCTTTCATTTTTTAATTAGGTCCTCACAAAGCAAAACAGATCCCAGCCCTATTTTATTTTACTACTTAATAAATAAAATATTTACATGTACCCCTTGCAATGCACACGCAGACCACTAGGGTCTCGAGTACCCCTGGTTGGGAATCACTGCGCTAATGTGTCGTTTCTACTTTGTTTGTCTGACATTGTCTGACGACGCTTTATCATTAAAACATTGATGAGGCATCCACCTCTTTTGGTGGCGCCATTAGTCTCACTACAAAAGAAGCATCGACAGAAGGACAATCAATCTGTTTGTGATGCTAAGGTTGAAATCTAGCTCAGAGCTTTTTGAGAGATTCTTCAAAACACAGTTAATGGCTCATAGGCTACATTTACACAGCAGCCTGAAGTGACCCAAATCCGATTTTTTTTTTTTTGCCCATATGCGACCTGTATCTGATCTTTTCGTGACAGTCTGAAGAACACAGATCCATATTGAAAAGATTGTGTTTATAAGGTTGGGAAAGATCGCTAGATGCGCTCCGGCACTACCATCCATTTTTTACTTCCATAAACACAGAGCAGGCTTGCTTGTGACATCATTGCATCCTCTACTGCGCATGTAGGACACTTGCGTTGTATGAATGCAGTTCACACAGGAGATCACATCCAAGTTTCAAAATTTGGAAATGTGAACGGCAACGCAAAAAAAAAAAAATCAGATTTCACAAAAAAATTGGAATTGAGCATCAAAGCCTGCAGTGTGAACGTAGCCATAGATCCCTTTTTTCTAATATTAGTTCTCTCAGAACCAGACAAGATATAGATCTGTAGCAAACAAACCTAGATTGGATCATTCTAAAATGGTAAATAAATGAAGTCAGGTTTCAAGATATTAGAAAAACTGAAAATGAATATAATATATTATTTGTGAATACATGTATGTTCTTGTGAGCCACTCACATTTCCTCCCTTATCTTTTTGCTGGTAACTATTTTCACCATGCACCGACCACTCTGCTTTAGCCTCAGTATGTCTTTCAATAAACTGTGTATGCAGTTTCAGTTTTAAAGGTGTTGAAAAACCATCAGACTGTAAGCACAGCAATAAAGTGCAGTATTGGAAGTAAAGTAGGCTACCAAAAATTGCAACCAATAAGCCCCTCCCCTTGCAGACATGGATATTTAGGAGACAAGTAGATTGCCATATTAATAGGAAGCTTTTGGGCTTTATGAAAATGGTAATCAATAGTTTTTCAACGATATTCTAAATATTCCCTTCTTTTAATGCTTAGTTTGGTTTTTAAAGCTAGTTTGACTTTTCCTAGTCAGCGTCTACTAACTTTTGGCATCATAGAAAAACCTGGACAGTTCATAGTGTCTGTTGGCATCTGTGGTTATGGTCACCACCACCTCTATCATTGACAGATGGTTTTGCTAATATAGATCTGTAGTCTCGCTGACCCAAATTTTTGCAGCCATGTTGGCTCAGCCATGGTTTCTATGGTAACCGGATCAAGTCAGCTGGTCTGTGGTAATTTGAAAGTTGTTAAAGAAGGATAATCCTTTGCAGTAGATGTGAAGATAAGCCTATTTTTAACCAATCTGAAGATGTTTCTGATTGCTTGAAGAGGGAGTTTGCACGTTCAAAAGCAACAGACTAAGTTCATTACTTCCTAAAGTCAGTTTTACTGAGGTAGCATGTTCTAGTTAAACCAATCTGTGGGGTGGCTTCCCCTCTAGTTTTCTTTCCATCCTTGAATAGCAGATAACATCCACAGCAGCTGTGAGGGAGATCCCAGTGACGGTGCTGAAATGTGACTCATCTCAACCATGGAGAGGCTTGGTGGCGGGGTGTGTGATCTACAGCTGCTGTAGCGCCTGACCTGGCACTTAAATCAAAAACACACTTATACACACGATGGATTGAGTCCAGGTTTGCTGTTGGCATCGTTTGCCGTGACAACTGGAAGACAGCCTCTCTGCCAACTGTCTTTTCAGGTTTATTTATGGGTAAAATTGAACTGCTGTGTGATTTATGTGATAACGAAGAAAAAGGGTTACTTTGCTTGTTTTGTTTTTTTTCTCCTTATAAATCCTGCTTTTAGCTTGAAGGCTGACATTAAACTCACAACGCCCTGTATTCTGATTTAGAAAACCATCAGACACTCGGCCTGGAGATTATCTTATGATCTAGCAATTGTTTTTTGGTTAATAAACTAAAAAGAAAAAATACACTGTGATCTGAGAAACTAGTAGTTGAACCAAAGGGTAACCCTAAACAAAGTCAATGCCCCGCCCGAAATGTTGCAATGGTCTGAGTTTTACAAACGATTCTAGTCAGTACTTTTACCTTTTCAGCGCAAGTGAAAGCAGCATCATGCAGCACACAGCAGTGGCTTCATTCTACCTTCTCATTGGTCAAGCTACTTGCTGCTTCTCTGCAACAGCATTACGGTGCAGAGGATATGTAAAGGGTTTTATGCTGGCGCGTATGTTATTGATAAGTGAACCACTTAAATAGCGCAGATGTAAAACGGTGAATTTTACAGCATGCTGTCAAAAAGCTCTTTAATTCACTCCAGCTGTCCAACCAATGAGACTCATGCCAACTAACTACCTTACAAAGCTTTAGCATATTACTGTAATTGAGTACTTTCGAAATGACTTTCTCATAACGCTGGGTGTTGTCATGATTGGATGTTTTCTTGTCATTCTACTTTTAGAAAAAGGAAACGTTTAATATATAATTATAAATATACTGCATACATAAGGCGTAGTATTCACTGTAATGCCACTTCAAATAATCTTGTGGCACCCCAATTTTAAAATTCTAACTCCACCGCTACAGGACACGTGTCTTAGAGTTTGTTGTTTTATTGTAGAAGCTGATTAAGGATTAATAATGGTTCTAAACTACAGCGTGTAATAATGACAGGATTTATTGACAGATATATATTATGTAATATGTTATACGTAAATGTGTCTCAATCATTATGTTTGCTTTGCCTTAAAAATTGCTATTTATAATTCCATAGGATTGGGTCTCGCATTTCTGGAGGTAGACGTCTTTGCACTATGGCAGCACAGAGCTGACAAAATACCGACTAGTGAGATTGTCGTTACGCTCAAATGTGTTGAGAGTAAGGATGTCCCGATCAGCATTTTAGGCCTCCGATCCTTATCCGATCTTTTAACCTCAAATCCGATCCGATTTTGAGTCCCGATCCGATATTTTCTCTTTAGTAGTGAAATAGATAAAACTCAAATATATTTTGAGCAAGTAACTCAACTTTTTATTAGACTAATATCTGATCAAAAAGCATTACCATTATTATTGTAAATCCCATTAAATCAAAATCTTACCCAAGATTAAAGGTCAGCTTCAAATTTGACTGACTTGGTACAGTATTATCAAATAAAGTGCTATCCAAGATCCACTTTTAGCTTAGAAGTGATTAATATAGGCTGCCATAAAGTCAATAAAAATAAAGTGCACTGACCACTGAGCAAATTTAAAATGTCCTTGCTTATCTTAAATGTGGTGTAAACAGATAGAAGACAAATAGTCACAATTCAGTAAATGAATTTGAAAAATCTCAATCCAACTTAAAAATTAAGTAAACAGAATTCAATCAAATGAATTCAAAACTTCAGGACTGCAACTTAAAAGTAACATGATCACTGAAACATGATCAAAATCAACAAGACCATTCTTCAGTCAAGAACAAACACCTACGTAGCCCTAAAAACAACTAAACAACCAAACCTGAATACTTAATTATTATAACCACAATGCTCTTTCCAGTTATGCCTCACTCACATATCCTAATTCAGTCAAGAGCAATAAATTCGACCAACCTTTATGTGATCTTCTTTGCTCTATTATTTTCGTTGGAGTATTTGTTTCTCCTCATAACGTCCAGCTTTTGTTGCTTTGCTTTAGTAACCTTTCCTTCTGCAGCTTTACAAAACGCTTCATACACATTGTCATGTTTTGTCCTCAAATGACGAATCAAGTTCATGGTGTTAAATGTAGCTCTGCTGCTACCTCCTCTTGTAATTGCCATGTTGCAGACATTGCAAGTAGCTTTAGGACAGTCTTCACTGGCGACAGTAAAATACTTCCACACTTCTGACATACTTGCTTTGCAACCGCCGAAAAGGTTTGTATTGCGCAACTAACGTCAACCGTAACTAGCGGGTACTTTACGGCAGTTGCTGTAAAGATCGGCGAGTCTAGTCAGGTAATGTAGCCGATCTCTGATCACGGGAAAATAGGAAAAGATCGGGCCGATCCAATCTCGAGATCGGGACATCCCTAGTTGAGAGGTTTGAACCGGATGGTGATGAACATTAGATGTCGGCAGCAACACGCTGAAGAATGCTGGTACTGTGCAGCATTTAATCATGCAGTGACAAAAAGGGCTCCATATAAGAGGCAATAGGAGGATTAGCTGTTTTGGTTTGGCAGATTAGATAATTCTCTCCTTCTACAAATCCATTTTCCTTATAAATGTTCCTGCAAAGAAATAAATCAACCCAACACAAACTCCCTGACATTTTATGCTATGTTTACATTCACACGTATTAAACAATGTTGCTATAGCTCAAGGTCTTGTTTGTCACAGATTCAGTCATTAATTATTGCTCTGACTGTTGCAGGTTTAGGCAAGTAGCTACTCTTTACAGCCATTTCCTGACTTATAAGGATCAACGCTCCTTTGCCTCACTGGAATGGAATGATCACAATGTTTCCAATGTTCCTGCAATGATAAATTACATTATTTTAGAGCCTAAATATCTGTGCTGATGTTTGTAGACAGCTTTTTATGAGAATTATGGAAACAGAGGTGATCTATATAGTCAGTGTTTGGACAACAAACCATAAAGATGATGAAATTCTGAGAGCAAAACTCCTCAGTTATGATTCATTTTTTAACCTCTAAACATTTCTAATGTTATAACTCTGCAGAGTTTATTGGAGGTCCAGAGCATATTTCAACTCCTCAGTATATTTTTAGGATGTCAGCAGTCTGTATTCGTTAAACAGCCTAAAGGAGGACAGCCTTCTCCCACTTTATCTGTTGCTCCATTGTAAATCAGAGAGCTAGAGAATGGGATCGGGGATGAGTGGACAATTAATAACTGTTATTTAGCAAAAGTAGAAAACAGATGTGAGCGAGCAATAAATGCTTCAAGTTGTTATAAAACCTGTAATCATAGTTGTCCCTTTCAGGGCTATGCAGTTGTTGGGGCACGTATGATAAAGAGGCTGTTTGGAAAAATAAAAATTTAAAGCTGGTTCTTCATAGCAGACACAAGATAAGTGAGAAATGCTTAATGAAACCAACCTACTTTGATAGGAGGTATATGGAGTCTAAATACATTAAATTTAATTAACCAAAAATTATTATTATCAAAAAAAAATTAAATGTGTTTCTGTACTCAATTTTTTAAAAGTCTTATATCAAGTCCTTTTGATATCAACATAACCACATCACTCCTGTCATATTAGTTTAGAAGCTATGTATGCTGGCACTGGCTATATTTATGTACATAAAAAAACAACCACAACCTAATCTCTAGTTTCATACCCACCACATACCCACCACTTTAGAGAATATTGAATTTCAGAAATAAAAAAGCAGCTTTTTTTCCCCCTCCTGACTGAGGTAAAAAAACAAATGTTTTTTATTTGATTTTCTTTATTAAAGCAAACCAAAAATGTAACAATTCATCTTTTTTTTTTAAATGATGTTTTTGTAATGATCCCAAAAAAATATTAGGTCAATTAATAAAAAAAAAATTAATCAGAAAGATAATAGAAAACATATTGAAAATATATAACATTTTGAAATATATCCTTTGATTAATGTACATTGGTCTGGGAAAAAATACCTTTGCATTGCCTAAAAAGAAAAGAGAAAAAAAAGATTTTTTTTTATTACTGAAAAAAAAAACATCTCTAGTTTAATGTCATTTTTATGCAAAATAAATCAAAAAGAAGTATGCTTTGTGTTTTTTGCCAAATTGCAAAATAAAAGATTTTTTCCAACTCAATAATCCTTTTTATTGTTGAATTACTGACTGATAAAGAGACACCCTTTCAAAATAAAAGGAACCATTTGGCTGCTTAATTGGACAAAATTATATTTCCAAGTTTCCACTTGGTTCAGTATTGCAGTTTATATTCTTGGAATTTATTTGAGATAAAATAATGTCTGATTTGAAAGGGTCTGTGTTTAAGATTTACTTTCTTAAATTTGATTTATTGCAAATTTCTTTCAGGTACTTCAGGAAAGGGATACAGCTCTTTAGCGCATTGCTAAATCGGAAGCCAGCTTCAGCAATATAGGCAAATATAGTCAATGTTAATGTTTATCATTTTCATACAAACCGCCTGAAAATACTATGAAATACATTTAGAAAAGCAAAATTTAGAAAATAGAAACATATTAGTAACCCTAACTTTTTAGCTCCCCTCACTATCCTCTGCAGGGCTCCTTTTCTTTTCCATATTGTAATTGGAATACCACACTGGAATAGTCTCAACATGATTAAAATTTTACTTTTAGTGTTTGATCAGGCTGATTTCTGACTTAATGCTGACTTTTAATGCTTTGGTTCAGGTGATCCTGGTTTCGGCCAATAAGCTCACTCGTTACATCGAACCTTGCCAGCTTACAGACGATTTCGGAGGAAGTCTGGACTATGACCACAGCGACTGGCTCAACAAGAGACTGGTAACTGAAATATATTGAAACCTTTTACAGCTCATCCTAAAGTGGATGTTGCCATGGTTACTGGAAGCTTGGTACTTATTTGTCATTCGTTTCATTTCAGGTTTTCGAGAAGTTTACAAAAGAGTCGACTGCGCTTCTGGACGAGCTGACGATCATCAACGACAGTGAAAAAAGTGCCTCGGGGGACAAAGACAAGTAGGCCCGCAGCCCGTAATTATTGTGATTAATCTTACAGCTGTGGTTTTGAAGTATGGTCTGTTTGCCATTGCAGATCAACCGATGGAGCTCTCTTGCCATCACTTGATCCTGAAACTGTCCTACAGAATGGTAAAACATTTTTTCCTAGATTAAAACATTTAAAGCAGGTTTCAGAACCCCTGTGGGGTTGTGAGACAGTAATTGTGGGCTTGAATGATGTTTTTCATGATTTATTTTTTAATATGATTCCTGAAGTATATGGCTTAACATTAAAGCGGACACTATGCAACCCATTCACATGCAGCAATGCAGCATCTACGGCCATAGTGGTCTAAAGGCCAATTTATGCTTTGATGCATAGCCTCTGCAACCATCAAATCTGTCTCTGTGTCCCCTGCACACCACGCCCCCCGCGCTGAGGTCCTACAACTGTCGTTGCGCACCTAAAAAAAATCCTGACTGCGCGTTGGACGGTCGCAAACCTCAAGACCTCAAGTGGAAGTGCGCTGACAAAAAGCAGCTGTGATTGGTCCTTGGTACCCCTTTCCGGCTGTCTGTGTGGTCGTCCTTCTCGATTCGGTGCCGGGGCACACCATTTTTAAAAACTGAGGAACAACTACAATGGACGACGACGAAAGGTTAATCGAGGATGTGCAATCCGTCTTAGTTCTCGCGAGTTCTCGAATAGGCTCCCCCTTGTGTTTTGGCTGGAAACTGCTGTGTGTCCCTAGAAATTCCAGACTGATGGTGCAGAAGCAGACCAGCAAAACTGGTTCGTGACCAGACGCAAGCAACATTTGATGTGTGCGGTTGCAGAAGTCCAATCTGCCCTTTAAGCAGTGTTTTTCAGCCCAACTCAAGCACACAGGTTTTGATGTTTCTCAGCTTCAACACCTTATTTAGAGTATTGCATTTTAGCAAAGCCTGTTAATTTGCTATGAATGGATATGAGGGGTGTGAAAGTTGAGAAACATCCAAAACATGCAGGGAGGTTTACCTTGAGGACCAGGGTTAAAAAACACTGGTCTAAAGTAACTGATCATAATTTTATACACATTAGATGATTCTATATATTAGATAAAGTCCTTATATGGCTTTTATAGATAATAATATATATGAAACAATCAAAATTTTATATATAAGATCAATCTTTTTTTTCCTGTCCATACTTTGATCCCTAATTTATCTAACATTCAATGGATCATTAGACTATAAAATTGAACATTAAAAGATAGATGTCCTACTAGATAATTAAAAACTAAAATGAAAATAAATAAAATAAATGTATGCCATTTAAAATGACTTGTATTTATAATTGAATATATTTAACTGTATAATTATAGATGGATACATTTAGTGTATATTTAGGTGGTCATCAGTCTGAGGCATTATTATTCTCTTTGCTTTGTATTGAAATTAACAGGCAGGCAGAAGAAGTAAAAGAAGTAAAAAGGCTTAACATGTAAAATAATCCAGGAAATGAAATATTCTGAATGTTTGTTATTCAAATGGTGTTTTAGTGATATTATGATATATTGTCGTTTTAGCAGAAAGCAGCCCTGGTCTGATTAATATTTATGACTAGCTCCTCGGTTTTCTTTATCAACAATAGGACTGAAACAATTAGTTGATTATTGAAATAATTGTCAACTAATAGTAATTGAAATGTTAAATGGAGTATAGAGACTGGAAAATTGCCTTTTAGAGCAGTATTTATATCAAAATTGTAAAAATATATACAAACATTTTGCATTGAAGATTAATTTTTTTTTCTGTCTGTCAATATGCTCTATCCAGAACTCCTCAAGTGGAAAAATTTTTTTTCCCCAGGTTTAATTTAATAAAAAATAATCTTTAGGAATCTTTGGCTATCTGATTATTAATCGATTAATTAAAAAAAGAATCAACATATTAATCGAATAGCAGAATAATTGTTAGTTGCAGCCCTGATCAACACACCAGGATGAAATTGCAGAATGCATTTAGAAACAGCTTCAAGGTTTCAGGTCAGACAAACAACATGAGGATAAAGGGTCCCTCATAATGAAGCACAGACTTGATGCTTCACCAGACAATCACTTTTCTGTCCTCAAGACACAAACGGGCTTTATTCTCCCAGAATTAAAATAATTAGAACAGAGCGTTTCACAGAAGCATCGCAGTTACAGCTAAAGGGAATCGTTAAAGAAATAAGTAAAAAATCCTCCCCCACTGAGAATACATGTTCTGAAAACACGCGGATGTGGAGGTTTTATTAAGGTGATATAACCTTGAGGTTTTCAGTTTGTCAGTTTGGATGTTTTCAGACCACACATCAAGGACGAACTGAGAGAAGTATTGAATATTGAGTCTGAATGATACAGTCATTGCCCCAGATATTTCCACCCTATTTCCTTTTTTTGCCACATTTATGTGTCTCAGATTACTAAACATGGTATTGCTCCTGATGTTTGTGAAGGATTATTTCATTCATTAGTGGCTGTGCGTGCCCCAGAAGGGGTCACTGTAATTGTCTTTTTTTTGTCTTAAGTCAGCCACAAATTGATTGAGATAGATTTTCTTTTTAAGCATGAACATCCTATTTACTCCAGTCTCTTCCTCCCATTTAATTTTTTAACTGCACACCCTTTTTGTTTCCTTAACCATTAGGAGGTGAATTTATGGCTCTTATTAAATTTACTAGGGGTTAAGTTGGTTTGCATAACTATTTTTTACCCTTTAATAAAAGTACCGTATTTTCCTTACTATAAGCTGCTAGCTCTTTCCCACATTTTGAACCATGCAGCTTATAAGGTGTGGCTTTTCTCTAGCCTGATAAACCAGACTAAATGTCTGAAATATATCTTTCAAACCCTGTCTGTGCCTATTGGCCAACGCTCTGACCAATGAGCGCAACTGATTGTGATGTAGTAAGCGCGACAGAAAGCAGGTGGCGTCTTTACGAAGACGAATACGTCTTTCTTAAACATGAATGAGCGTAGAGTCTCTTCCTGCTCACGTTTCAACGAAAACCCCAAGTCTAATCCTTCCAAAATTGATTCTAAAGTCAAACGAGAACCGTTCAATAGTCGTTGCCATCTTCCTTGTTGAGTTTTCTCCAGCGTCGCGCAGCTTTGTCGTCACACCCTCAAACCCCCGCCTCCTTTGCATCCAGAAATTCAAAACACATCTCTGCATTGCGATTGGCCCGCCAGTTCTAGGGCCTGGGGCATTGATCGAGGCTAGCAGGTGGGGCTACTTTACTAGGCTAGTTTTTCTGTGGATTTTTCCTAACTGCAACGGGGGACGTCATAGTTGGATATTGAAGAATAAGGGGCTGATTTTAATTTAGCACAAGAACATGCTAGCAGCAGACACGACGGAGATCAAATATTCTGAATTCACACATTTTGACATTTATTTGCTGCAGTAAGGCTGCCAAATCAATGAAGAGACTGGGCTCAACTCCTGCAGAACTGAATTAAAGAGCTGGAGAATGTCCGTCTTTCAGTAGAAGCTCTTACTGCTATGAGCCAACAGGCTAACGGGAGCTAGCATTCTTCTTCATCCCTACTGGAGGGGCTATATGTAGAGCTCCCCCTACAGGTTTGGTGGGAGACAGTTTAGTAGATATCAGTGGCTTACAACCCAGTGTGGCTTCCATTTTTCCCCCCAAGAATCTTAGTGGGCACATATAGGAGAAAAACAGTCTCATTGCAATCTCCCTTTTTTGTAGACCAAATTTTAAACACTGATTTTTTTTTAACACCAAATTTTAAACACTGGATTTATATGTGGTAAAAATTTGCCTGCAAAAAATTAACTTGCAAAAAATTCACATGCAAATGTGTTGCCCTTTTGGTGAACTCAAGCCAAAGCAATCGACACTCGCTGCAGTCGAGCAGCTTCTAGCCAATGAAATGAGCGCATTTGGTCACATGACACAACAGTATAGCTTTGTTCCAGGCTGAATGAAGCTGAATGAGGAGTTTTCTTGTTAAAAGGATATGATTACAAAACGTCATTTAGCTACTAATAGACAACCATTAGGGTTTTTCATATAATCGGACTGGGTGAAATAACTGAGCCGATCACAGCTAGTGCAGCACCCCTGTCTGCCAACGCTCTTGGTTTGATCTGGAAAAAGCGACCGATGGCAAACTTCCTTTTTTTTTTTTGACAAAATGAGCTAATTTTATTGGATAGAAGCTGCTCGACTGCATTGAGTGTAGATTGCTTTGGCTTGAGTTCACCAAAAGGTCAACACATTTGCAGTTGAATTTTTTGCAGCTGAATTATGGGGCCAAAATTGTTGCTTTATTATTTGCAAATATGTGTGTAGAGTTGTGTATCTGTAAAACAATCTGCAGATGTGTAAAACTAGTGTGTGTGTGTAATCCGGTTTGCAAATGTGTAAAAAATCCACAAATCTGTATTCAGATTTACAAATATGTACTGAGATTTGAGAATGTGTAAAAAATCCACAAATCTGTATTCAAATCTGCTGCAGTAATGTTACGTACAGTACACACAAATCTCCTCACACACTTACAGTCTCATTTACACATTTTCAAATCCCACTGCACACTAGGCCTGTCACGATAACAAATTTTGCAGAAAGATTAATTGTCTCAAATATTATTGCGATAAACGATAATATTGTTTGAAGACCTTTTTACACTGATTTAATGGAAATTATGTAATAATTCATGCATTTTCCTGCCAAAGATAAACACACTTTATTTTCCACAGAACACTTAACACTGGAACTGGTTAACAAAATAAAATGAGAAATAAAAATTAAATGGACTCTCAGTCTCTGTTAACTTAAAATACACTTGAATAAAAACTAAACACAAGATAAAACCACAGTGAAAATAAAAACGTATATACAAAATATCACGTTGATGATATGTATGTTTTCTGGGGAGTTCATCCTGTCTATCAAATGCCTGCAACATTTTTTGAAATGTCGGCTTTTCAACAATATTAAATGGAAGCATCTCTTTAGCAATTAAATGAACTACGCTGTCTGTGAGCGTGCGCCACTTTGCGCCGTCCTTTTTGTATGCTGTCTGTCGATTAATTGCTTCAGTGATGGACTGTCACAAACTTGAAGACACAGACGGGCCACCGCTTGTACTTTTTGTTTCCAGCTGGAGAAACTTTGCTGGGTGGTTGTGCTTTAGGTGCATGTGTAAGTTGGTTGTATTGCTGCTCTTAGTTGCTACTGTTTTATGACAAATGCGACATACTGGCTCGCATAGGTCCGGCGGTTCGCCTCTGTCGTTTGGTTTGAATCCGAAATACTCCCACACTGCGGCTGTTGCGCTCGGCTTTCAAACCAGTTACATTTCAAGCTTTTTCCCCCCAACATAAGATGTGGGTTTTGTTTTCCTCGCTAACTCCTCAAGGGGCTCTAAAGCTGCAGAAGTAGAAAATGATGCACGCTGACTACCTGATGCGATAGTCCACTCCTCCTCCCTCCTCAAAAATGAGGAAGGGGAGGGGTCAGTTGATAGCACCGGAGTTAAGCCTTTTCATCCAGCGTCATCAATAGAAGGAGAAAAACATAGGCAGAGACGATATAGTCGATAAATGAAATGAGGTGGATAATTTTTATTTATCGTGCGATTAATTGATTTATTGATTATCGCGACAGGCTTACTGCACACACACGAGATACAGATACACAACTCTCCACACACATTTGCAAATAATAAAGCAACAATTTTGGCCCCATACTGAATTTTTTGCAGCTGAATTTTCACCAGATAAAAATTCAGTGTAAGGTAGAGTTCTATGAGATTTTTGTACTTCCATAGGCGCGGCTTATAGTTGGGTGCGTTATCTTTTCTCTTCATTCAGGTTATATTTTCCAAATGTTCTAAGTTGTATTACGATCTGAAATAAGTGACACGAAAAAATACAGAAGACAACGGAAAACCTATTTCATAGCTGTAGTTTTTCCTACTTCAGGATATTGTCATTTTAAAGCTTCTTCTTGACTGTGTGAGCCACAGAGTCCTAGAAGGAGATGTTTGACACCATTTGGCCAATTTCCCTCTAATCCTGAAGCCAAATAGTCACAAACAACATCTGGATGTGCTTTGTGGATGTGCTTATGATAAGAATTAGCCTGAGTGTGTGTGTATTGCTGGGCAGAGGTTAAAGGAGTCTTTGTTTACGGAACCACCATTCTCCATCCATAATCTGACAGCATGTTAACAAACGCTGTCATCTTGTTGTTTCACATATTTTTGTAAAGCCTTTGAATATAAAAATGTGTGTACGCAGGTCATGAGCTGCTGTCTGAGCTGCAACAGCGCCGGTTCAACGACTCAGAGGGAGGAGGAGGAGGCGGACAGGCAGGTGAGGAAGAAACTGACCCTCCCTTAAAAAGAATCAGTGGAAATCTAGAAATCTTTGTTCATGTTTATGTATATCACTTCTGCTTTGATGCAAAATAAACTGGAGCTTAAAGGGTTTTAACTGTGTTTAATGATACATAAAAAAACACTGAACAACACACAGTTGATTTTTAACTTAACTTAAACAACCTTGTGCTAGTTTAATTGTTTAGGTTGTCATAAACTGCATTTTACAAAGTTAATAATTCAATTATATGGTTAGAATAGATGAATATTAGTTAAGGTTGTCAAGATACAAAAATTTTAAACATATACCCAGAAAAAAAATTGATGCTCAATACCGCTTTTCATGTCATTAGAATTAAAAACGCAAAATAATGAAAGGCATAAAAAGTACATTTATCAACATGAAAACTCCTTTTTTATCTCAACATGGTGTTCACTCAACAGAATTACACATTTTCTTTAGTCAAATATGTTTAAAAAAACACAAAAAAACTAAAATAAATTACCCAAATATGCAGAATTATTTTAAGGTTATTTGGGGCCTTATTTTATTAATGTGTTAATATTCCTTAAATTTAAAAATATAAATAAAAAAAAGTATGCAAGCCTTGAGGCAAACAGGTGGTAGAAATGCTGTGGCTCTCGTCTTGGTCTCCCCCAGCTCCAGCATGGTGCCCTATGGACGAGGAGCTGCTGGCCCAGCCTCAGGTAATGAAGCTGCTGGACTCGCTCAGGGAGCGCTACACTAAATACCAGGAGCTGTGCAGACAGCGGAACAAGAGGGCGCAGCTGGACGAGATCCACGCCAAGGTCATGCAGGTGACTGACGCACGATTACAGAGGTTACGAATATTATCAGAAAGGTCTAATGTGATCTGGAAAAGAATGGAGTGTGGTTTTGTATTTCTTGGATTTCGACCAGTACAGCAAATGAAAATGTGTGCATGGGAATTTCTCCTTAATCTCTTTTGTCTTTTATTCTATATCAGCTCTTTCTTTGCATCCTTCCTTAGTTCCTTCTGATTTATGTGATCCCTTAAATCCTTCCTGCTGTCCCCTTTTGTAACCTTCTATTTTCCTTCCTTTTCCTATGTCCTTTCCTCCTACCATTTTTTGTTGCATTGTTTCCTACTACCACTCTCTGCTTCATCCTTCCTGAATGTTCTGCCTTCCTTGTATCCTACCTTTTTGTTAATTTTAATCCTTTCCTATGATCGTTCACTTTCAGTTTAAAAGACTAAAATGTCGTTAAAATGAATAGGAATCCTCAAAATATCACAGCTTGCTGTCATTTGACTATGCAAAGCTTTTGTCCCTTTGCAACAGAGTTTCTCCCCCATATACCTTTTAAAAGTCTCAGGTTAAGGTTCATGAACCAGCTATAAAGATGTAGTTCTGTTGTTCTCCACGCTCTGATTGCTTTCTGCATACCTGAATGAGCTGCAGGGTTCAGTCCTCGGTGCATTTAGCCATTTTATTCTTCCACTTAGAAACTGTGTCTGGATGCAGATTCAGAGCCCTTCAGTCCAAGAACAGTACTGTCTGCTGACTGAAGGTCTTAGAGCCACAGGGGCTGATGGGTAACACGATCATCTTGGAAACGGGCCTGGGGTTGCTATAGTAACTGCAACAAGGCTGCCAATAGCTGAGGATTTGAGGCGGTGGGTTGGCCTAGATTTAGATCAAACTGTGGCCTTGTTTGTGTGCTGTTTAAGGCATCGCTGACCTGATAAATACAATTGACTCATGATCCTGACAGAAAAGTCAAACGCACATCTGCAGAGATGTGCTGTGCTCTGCTTGGAGAGATATGATGATTTACACTTCTGTTAACAACATAGCTATGCGGAATCTAGATCACTTCCTTTATTGTTTTTAATAGTAAATTGATTAGACAATAAAAAAGATGGCCCCCAAATCCTTTCTGTGTTTAATTTTTTTGTTTAATGCTAACTTGCAGTGATGCTATCGGTGATGGTACCAGTATCATCTTATATTTATATTTAACTCTGTATTTGGACAGCCGATTGTAGTTACAAATATTTCTTCACAGTTTTCAGCTTGTATCCAGTACAACGAAACTTAATACAGCCCAGCATCAGGTTGGATGGATTAATCACTAACTCTAAGATCTTAGATATAACTTTATAGTTTTTTTTTTGTTTTGTTTTTTTGACTTGACCCAAAGGTGAAAAATAAGTTGGAGAAAATACTGTTTATATACGATGAGGTTGGATTATTCCCAGTAATGATCCAGTGCAGTATTTGAAACTTTAGAAAGAAATGAGCCTTTTCCAGGTCTGGATAACTGTGCAATTAAGACAACAGAATATAGACAGATGTTTGAGGTTAGATTTATCTAAGATGGATAAGATAGATTTATATATTTTGTTTTTCCCCCTTGCTCTTTTATCTTTTTAAACCTCTGAGCTTAAAAATGCTTACATAGGTTCCTGAATATTTGGTAAAGTGTGAGAACCATTGGTTAAATTCTTCTAACTAATTTTCATTTTGCAGATTTTTTGGCCTCTAGAACTTGGATGGTAGTTTTTGACTCAACCTCTGTGCTATTTAAGAATAATGTCTTGCCTGGGTGTCTAAGAATGTACTTAAACCGACACTAAGTAACTTTTCAACATTCATAAAATATTTTCATAACTTTTTAGTTATGAAAATAGTTTTAATATGATATGATATGATCACTGATCATATTAAAACTAGTTGAATGCCAGCTTTCATGGCCTGAGGGGCTCTGTATGGCTTTTTGTGGCACTAAGCAGCTTTGAGGAGGGTGGCAGTAACCGTGCCACACAAAAAACCTACAGAGGTACAGACTTTCACAGCATACGTCACTTCCTCCTTTCCCCATTTGTTAGAAAGACAGAAGTCAATATGACTACCGTATTCTTTAGACTATAGAGCGCACTGAGAATTTTGTAGTTTTTTTTTTAAACTGATAACTTACTACTCAACTGTACCCATCCACACCTGTAGGGGGAGCTCTACATATCACCCGTAGTTGAGGGGGAAAGAGAAATGCGTCTCCCGTTAGCTTGTTGACCCGCAGCAGTAAGAACTTCTAGTGAAAGATGGGGCTTCATCAACTCTTTATTGCATCTTTGCAGGAGTTGCATGCAGTCTCTTCGTTGGTTCGACACTTTTAGTGCGGCAAATACATTTAAAATGTGTGAATTCTGGACATTTGTGGTCCTCCGTGGCTGCAGCTAGCATGTGCTTGTACTAAATGGAAATTAGCCCCCTCTGCTTGGACTTGCGCCCCCTGGCGGTTAGGAAAAATTCACAGAAAAGCAGCACCTTTGTATAAGCAGCATGGTTCAAAAGTGTGGGGAAAAAAGTAGCTGCATATAGTCCAGAAAATACGGTAAATTTCACTGTATATTCATGCAAATCGTGCAGAGTTTATATTCAGGCAATGCTGCACCTTCCTGTTGGGATCTATTTGTGTGTTTACTGTGAAATGATCAAACATAACATTGCATTTATCTGTTTCAAGGCTCTAAACTTTTCAACACATCAGTCGCTGACTAGTCGGGTGAGGTGACATTGTTTCACCTCAATTAAATTGATTACGTCATCGTTGTTTATCTTTCACACAGCCACTGGAAAAATGGAGAAATGTTGTTAAATCCAACTACAGGCAGGCAGGAGATCAGCATTTAACCAATCAATGCACAGGTCTAAATGGAAAATCCTGTCTTCTGTCATGCAAAACAATACAGCCTATGTCCACTGGGGGGAGCCAAAATCGACCAAAACTGGATGTTTTCTTTTTTAGAATCCCTTTAAACACTTTATTTATTAAATTGCAAACTGAATTAAATTATTGGGATTTCAAGCAATCATACATTTTTACAGATATCTACTGACTTTCAGATAAATCAATTTCATTAAATGTATTAACCAGAAAGCCTTCTGAAGGAAGGAGAAATCCATGATCTGCTCTGACACGAAACAGACATCAATACTAACATTAACAATTAATGATGAACTGCTTTAATATTAAGGTAGCCTCTTGCTGCCTGTAGCTCACAGGCATGAGAGCCATAGTAGATATTTCAGGTCATGTTTGAAGCTTTTACTGTTCTATAAGATGTGGAATAAACATACAAGTTAACTAATAGTTTAGATCACCAGTTTCTTTGTAACCCCCATCAGGTGGTGAACTGGCTGCAGGGTCCTGGTTCAGAGCTTCTGAAGACCCAGCAGACAATCGGGGACTCTATGCGAGCTGCACAGGCTCTGCAGCAGAAGCACGAAGAGATCGAGAGCCAGCACAGCGTAGGGAAACACACTCAACTCAACATTCAACAAAACGATCGCTGACTTCTCTGAATGATGTTTACTGCTGATGGATTAACTGTAAACATATTTTATTTAAGTTTCCTCTTAGCTAACTTCACACATATTCTTACCTAAATAAATAACTGGGAACAAAAACTGGGAATAATAGCTCCCAGTTATTTATCTAAAACGTAATAATTTTTGATTAAACCCTGTTTACGTCACATTATTATTGACGTATTATTATTATTCAGTAAACCATTCCTTAAACCTGAAAACTTCCCTGAAGAAGTTGATGTTAATGTTGTTCCTTTACGTCATCTATTCGTGTTTGCAGGAGTGGTTTGCTGTGTATGTGGAGTTGAACCAACAGATCGCTGCCTTGCTCAGTACCGGGGAGGAGGAGGAGGTGGCGGAATTAAAGGCGCTGCAACAGCAGCTCAGTGACGTCTGCTACCAGCAGGCGTCCCAGCTAGAGACCCGTCAGAATGTTCTGCAGGCAGCACAGGCCTTCCACAGCACCACACAGGAGGTAAAGCATGTGTAGATGGATCAATGTGGTTGATAAGCTGGAGATGATCAGGATGAAGTGACGTCCATGTCTCTACAGTTGTCTCAGCAGCTGGACGGGCTCCTGGGCATGCTCTGTGTCGATGTGTCCCCTGCTGACGGGACATCCATTCAGCAGAACCTAAAACTGTTAGAGGAGAAACTGCAGACTGTTGGTTTGTATCTGATTAAAAAATCCTCCCCCCTTTTTCCTCCTAAAGTTTCCTTATGATAACTTTTTAAAATCTCACCGGATGTAGAGGCAGGTCTGTCCTCCCTCCGTCAGAAGGGAACACTGGTGCTGGAGCAGATGTGTGGCCAATCATCCTGGTCTCTGGAGGAAGCAGAAAGCCCTCCTGGAGAGCATCAGGAAAATGTGCAGCATGTTCAGGCTGTGATGGAAGAGATGGAGCTCCGCAAGCAGAGGTAACTTCTATCTTCCTCTCTTTAGGTGAGCTAATCTCAACACAAGTTGCAGAATTTCTGTTAGTCTGGATAACTTTGAGTCATTTGAGAGAAAAGAAGAAGGTTTTCTAGTTTATTCAGTAAAACTAGAAAACCTTTAACTGTAACCTTGTTTGCATTTAACATAATTTATTGGTGAAATATTGTTTCCTTAAAAATATATGAGAGCAAGTTTTCTTTTTCTTTTTTGTGGTCGGTAAAAAATTGTCCATTAAATACTTTTATCTTTTATCATCAAAAAGTTTACATCGGATCATGTCTGTAAATCTCAGTCTGCGTTTTTATAACGTTGCCAAGATTCTGGAGGAATCTGCAACATTTTAATGTGGAAAAAAAAAAAGAACAAATTGATCAAAACACAAAACAAATATCTTTAAAGAAATATAGATCACATTTTATATTTATGTTTATAATAACATAACATTAACCTTGGGGTGTTACAGGTGTGAGGACATGGTGGATGTGAGGAGGCTCAAGATGCTGCAGATGGTCCAGCTGTTTAAATGTGAAGAGGATGCTTTACAGGTCAGACACACATGGGTTTAAAAGCAACCACTTAAACGATGATGTGTACTTCCTGTATTGATCAGATGATGAGCTTTATGTGTGTATGTGTGCGTCCAGGCGGTTGAGTGGCTCAGTGAGCTGTTGGACGCCTTGTTAAAGACCCATGTCAGACTGGGAGATGACTCTCAGGAGACACGGACCATGCTGGACAAACACAAGAAGTTTGTGGATGTAGCTCAGGTGAGAGATGCCATTAAGTAACGGCTTGTAGGAATTATATACACTGATAGGGAAGTTTTGTTTCTATTATTTATTATATAAAAGTTTTTTGTTAAATCGCTTCTTTTTATTGAATTCCTCTGCAGAGCACGTACGATTACGGCCGTCAGCTTCTGCAGGCCACCGTCGTTCTCTGTCAGTCACTGCGCTGCACCACTCGCTCCTCCGGCGACACTCTGCCGCGACTCAACCGGGTGTGGAAGCAGTTTACCGTCAGCGCAGACGAGAGACAGCAGCGATTGGAGCTGGCCCTGAACTTTCACACCATTGCTGAAAGAGTGAGTAGGACACGTTTAATAGGAGATGGAAAAAAATTAAAAGCTCTTACCTGTCTGGGCTGACTGAAGATAAATCCCATATGGTTTGATACTAAGGTTTGCTATTTTTTTCTACCACAAATATCACTGTTTGGTTCCCGTTTTAGCAGTTAGCAGGATTAGCATAGTAAGGATTGTTTGTCTGGACAATGTAGACCCTTCTTCATTATTTTGTTCAATAGGTTGCAAACAAATTTTAATTCAGTGTGCACAATTTAAAATTAACTGATAGATTACAAATGATAATAAAAGAGAGCACCCTGCTGCTGTGCTGCGTTCAACCGTTCTTTTATCTAGAAAATTGTTTTTTTGTAATACATGGTTTCTGCCGGTCATTAAATTATTATTTTTTAAATTAAGACCTTAATTGACATTAAAATTGTGATTATCGCGGCATTTAAAATGCTTTATTTTCATCAAATATATCAGAGAGTCATGGGTACTTGGCATTAAAATGATTTCTAAGAGCATTAGATTAGTTACTCATTTCTGTATAAACCCTGTAATAGCTTCATGCATATCTGTGCCTCCTCTGGCTTCACCTCACTGAAATTTGGAGTCTTATCCCATCAGTAACTTGTACGCTAAGAAGTGTTGTTTTTAACACTACATTGAAGCAGGGAGGCGTGAGGCGTTCGCTGATCGTAAAAAGCAAAAGTTTTGAGCTTCCATCCTTCTCAGTTGTTGGATTTTAGCAAGCTTCTCTGCCTGTATCTGTTCACAACCTGCTGCTGCGTGATGTAGAAGGTTTGAAGTAAGGGTGCAACAATATTTACATTTTATAAACATTAACAATGACTGTTTAATATCTATAATCTCTATCAGGCGTTCGCTATTCCTGCTCTTACTGCTTTATATTAGAATAGATCAAATCAAATCTCCTCAGTTCTATACCTTTCACTTTATTCTAAGTGTTAGAAAATGATATATCACTTGAATAAATTCCTTATTTTTGAATTTACTAACTAGCAATCTTACATTTAGATGTAATTGTCTTTATTGAAGCATTCAAAAACAATCAGAACCATTGTGTTGATTTTATTTCCTTCTTCATGCTGCAGGTGTTGCAGCAGCAGCATGTTGAGGTGGAATCTCTGGATGAGGTCGACTCTTCAGGAAGAACTCTGCTGGACAGACTCGCTTTACCGATCATCTTCCCTGATGGGTACAAACACACATTTACCTTTTTCTTTTTTTACTATAACTTCTTTTTTATGTGTGGGACACAAATGTATGAATAAAGCACTATTTTCTTCCTTACATAACATTTAAGAGGACCTTTTTTTATTCAAAAGAACAGTTTCATTTTTTATTTTATTGCTGAAACCTAAAGTATTTTAAGTGCAATGCTAATAGAGGCATATTTGATGTATGATTATTAAACTCTTAATTATCTTATAGGAAGAAAACCTTTGTTTTAATTCAGGATTATTCACTAGTTCACCTGACAGATGTAATTGATAACACTGATCCTTTCAGGAGCGAGCAGTTCTTTGGGAGTCCCATCGACACAGCCTCTACAGCAGAGGGAGTCAGAGAGCGCCTCCTACTGATTGAAGAGCGGCGACTGCAGCTGCAGGAGGCGCGGCTTCTTAACAACGAGGAGGAAGAGGAGGAAGTGGTGAACGGCCTGGAAGGGAGGCTGGATGTAATCGGAGAGGAACTGAGTGAGAAAGAGGAGCAAGATGAGGAGGAGAAGGAGGCAGAGCATCAGGATGAGGATCTGGAGAGGGCTACGCAGGACTGCTAATGGCTGTTAAACCTGCAGCCTTGATGAAGCTTGTTGGTGAAGGGCTGCTGACATCTGAAGTGATTTCCTTCTGTGGCACAAATCATATGAAAAAAAAAGCTATTTTTCTGCCTGTCTGCCTTCCCTTCAGTTCAGACAGCGTCTCTCCTCAGCCTCTCTACGTAACCTTCCTGCAACTGGACTAACCCGATGGATCGTACTCCTAGTCCCGGTCACTTTAAAAAGAAACGGAGAACCGTGCTGCTTCTCTGACTGGAATAACTGCAACTTGTGTTTCCGCTCTGTTGAGGATAATCATCGTGGATCAGTGCTCCTAACACCGCTGCTGCCTCCTCCTCATTTACAACTTGAGAAAATCTTCCATGGTGCTTAACCCAGCTTCTTGTTGACCTTTTGGGACATTTTCCCATTTGTATCTACATCGGTTTACTTTCACAGCAGCTCACTGAAAGGAAACATTTATCTTGTTTGGTGCAATATTTTACAACTGATCAGATTTTATTTTCCTCTTTTGAATTTATCTACTATAGTCAGAGGAGTTTATCTGTAATCAGGATGCAGTGTTCTATACGCTTCTCTAAGAAAGGATAATAACGTAGCCAAACATGAGGAAGATGAAAACGATGATTAAAGGTACAACAAAGATTACAACATGGCTGCACAACAGCAGGCCAGAAGCTGCTGTCTGAGTTATTAGACATGGGAACTAAACCAGGAACTCAGAAACATGAGCAGTTAAAAAAAGCCATAACATTAAACCTAAAAAAAGCCAAACTGATAGGACCTTTAGGCTCAAAGAAGCACAGCTGTTAAATCTCTGTGCAGTTTGGTCGAGTTTATCCCTCTTTGTGTGTGTGTTGCATTTTATCCTGCAGATCAATTTTAATTTGCAGCGTAATATTTTAAAGCAGAATCTGCAAGAGATTACCGGTATTATTCTGGTGATCATTGATCAAATAATGACTGAAGCAACACAATATAAAAAAAAATGTATATGTCAATGTATTTCATTTTTCCTGCAGTATTCTCTTAGATATTCTGATGGGGTTCAAACGCACAGCTTGCTTTACTGCAAACTTGAAACATGAGCTTGTGACCACAGTCTAGTTTTTAAAAAAGAAATCAGATATAAACCTGGAAACTTCAGAAAAGGTCAGATTCCTTTTTTATTTTATTTATTCTCTCTTCTTTAGGTCAAACATTGAGTTACTGGTTTGTCTTTTCTTAAAATCTGCTGCTGTCAGTGTATATCTGCTAATCGCTCTGTCCCGCTGTCTTTACCGTCCAATGGCCTCTAAATAAAGGTATATAAGACACCTTTTTGGAGTTGGTCCTTTCATTGTGTGTGAGGAATAAGATGGAAAATCACCCGTACATGCTGACATGCTGAGTACCAAAACTAGCATGTCATCTTGCTTTGAGCAATGCTTAGTTTTATATCTAAATATATGCAGTGTTGCAACTGCAACTTTTTGAAAAATTTGCTAAACTTTGTAATTGGCAACACTGAGGTTCCTCATGCAGCTGCATTGGAGAAAGATGAACCAAACCAAATCTGTTAAAAAAAAGAAAAAAGTTGTAATAGAAACAGGAATGCAGCTGCTTCTCTCCATTATTCACCTAAATGTTAAACATTGGTGGAGAAAAGAACAGCTGATAGTCAGATGGATCCCTGCAGCATCCAGTCAGATCGTTTCCATTTAACTTTAATTAATCTTAGCTGATGAGGCGTTTGTTCCCAACAGCCTTAATGCTGCATTCAGGTACAGCTGGGAAAATATATTCTCATAGTGACTCAAACATGTTTTAATACAGTATGAGCAGTTTTGTTTAAGACATCAAGTTGGATTATATACACTACCATTCAAAAATTTGGGGTCACATTGAAATGTCCTAATTTTTTAAGGAAAAGCACTGTACATTTCAATAAAAACTTTAAACTTGTCTTAACTTTAAAGATACT